GAGAGTTTAACCGTCCTTTTGGCAACTAAAATGAAATTTGAAAAGCCATTTGACGGCTGATTAGTTGGCATCTACGATGATCAGTGTTTCAGAAACCGGGCGTAAATATTTCATTCAAATATAAGAATTACTTACTGCATTTTTGAAAAGGGTTAGGTGTTGGACTGTGTATCATCTAAGTACCCAAAGGTGGGATATGGATTTCTGACCATTTATATTTAAATTATGCTTATCTTACTGTTACCAAAATTTAATATTATACTTTTTAAACACGTTAAAATTACATATTTCAATAAAATTCGTTTACAGAATTTATATATTTATTTATGTTTATATATATTTGTATACTTCATTACTTGAGCAGGCTCTGATGATCAAGAGAACGCATCACAGGAATTTTATTTCATTTATTTTCGGCTTCATTTCATTGAACCAAAGATTGTTTTATAAAAAATATTCATCTTGGCGTTTTATCGTTGGCCCATTCAAAGGTATGTTTAATGGAAAATGATCATGTCTTAAGTTTTAAACCAGTCTATCTCTACTTAGCCAATAAGTCGAACCAGTAGAATGTGTAAAAGCTGCACCATTTTTAGAAATTAATGTACACTTGTAAGAAACGCGACTTTAGCGTGAACATTCAATTCTATAGCGGCCACTTCATCCCGCACGCGATTACATTAGTAATTGTAAGTGCGAATATCCTAGTTGTTTTCAACCGACTTCAAAAAAGGAGGAGGTTTCTCAATTCGACCGTATATATATATTTTTTTTATGTGTGTTCGTGGATAACTTCATCGTTAATGAACCGATTTTGATGATTCTTTTTTTGTCGGAAAGGAGATTTCGCAAGGGTGGTACCATGATAAGGAAACCGGATCAGATGATGGCATCCCAGAGAAATCGAGTGCCATCATTAAATATTATAGGTATTAACAATGTTTTAATTTTCTGATTGAATTCGGTTTTTTTTTTGTTAAAAACTATGCTTGTACTTACAAAAGTTATTATAATAAGGCGTTAATAAACGTTAATTGATCAGTATAGCAGCGACTTAAAAGATGAAAATTAGCACCCGCAATATTAACCATAACATAAAAGGCATGCAGCAGTGCCGCTGACATTTCGTGATTGAAAATTACAACCTAACTGAAACACTATCTCGCTATAACGTTGCTGAAGGTAAGGCTAATCTTAGTGGATTATTAATTTTTAAACCGCATCGTGGATCAAGGACAACACAAGTTATACTTGGCAGAATGTTCAACGTGATTAAAAGCGTTAGAGAAAACCGATGTTCGCTCACAATCGATCCAAAGCTTCGGGTGCGTGGTCTTCACCCCGGAAGACCAGGTTTAAAGAACACGTTGATCATTGGCACTTACATAGATGTCGCGGAAATATTTAGCCGATAGACGCGACGATAGCGACGATTCAAAGGGCAATTGTACTTCTTATCCGACTTCCGATGAGCCACCATTCATGTTTTATGGCCGCGATCGCAAGCGGCACGGGACAACATATGCTAACAGATAGCTGTCAAGGACAACCGACCAAGGCGTGTTCATTCGCAGAGAGTTTATTTCGATATTTTTAAATCGGACTTACATAAGTAAGGACAAAGGACTATAATGATACTTATTCTGAATAATTGAAACAAACAAAATTTTGCAGACAATACCACACACAACTGCACATGCCCACACTCTAACATAAAAAACTTCACATCAGTTTTGAAATACTTACTTATCATAGCCATGTTTACTGGTATTCTGAAAAGCACCAGTTCTTCACATACCACTTAAATCAAGTACCCTGGTCATTGACCTAAAACCAAAAAGATAACATTATCAATAACTAATAAAACTTGTTGTTTCAAGAGTCAACCCTAATTTTTCAAGAACTATAAGTGACAATCTGTTTAAACAAAGGCAACTTGATTTCTTTGTCTACTAATCACAATAAACAGGAACCTTAATGAACTTTGTACAATATTAACATAAAAATCTTTGAAGTTTAAATTGAATACTATATGTTGTTCCAATAAAGACAAACAATTTTTTTGCCAGATTTTAAACAAGAGTGAGTGTTATAATATAAACTATATTTGTAGCTAGAACATTACTTGATGTTATTTAGTTAAATTACTATTTCATATCTATTGTGTGGACATTACATTGGGGTTAAGAGTGATTCCTAGGTCTTAACCCCAAATATTATACATTATAATGTACTATATTGATTGTTATAAACAATAGTTATATAATTATTACCTTATACAAGATTTTAAATAGTTTGAGTTTCTATTCAAATATTTATCACATTATATTATTAATACTAAATATATTAGGATAACTTTTTGACATTCCACTTTCAATTTGAACCATATTTTGTACCAACTTTTTTTTTACAACCAAATTTACACATATCATATACAAATTAACTTTTATAAACAATTTTCATACATATTTCTACTTCTTTTTTTTCACTCATTTTGGCTTTAAAGCTGTAGAGGTACTAATAGAAGACATTTATTTATATAACAGATTTGAAACTCAAATATTAAGTACATAACTAAAAAACATTTTACAAATACAAAAGATACACATATTCCATAGTATTAAGAAATAAGCATACTGTAACATGTTTTCCACAAATAAGGTTAATAAACCTGTCTGATAAATTAATCCATTTTGTCATTGTATAAAATACTTATCTTTTATCTCAAATCCATAATGCTTTGTTGTTATGTGAATTTTATATATTTATAGTAGTAAAACAACAATACATGTTGGGTAAAACAATAACTCATTCAATAAATAACAATTTTAGCTAAAGCTAAGCTTAAATTTATTGTATTCTGTTCCACAAAATATAAATAATTAGTTATGATAAACAGATTCTACATATGATACTAGATATTATTGAAAAAGAATTAAATACCCCTGACTATGAGTTATTATGTTTTATTTATTCAATTTTGTAAAATATTTCAATACTTACTTCTTAAACACAAGCTATTGACCTGTAAATAGAGCACATACACGATCTCTGACAAAAGAATAACATTATAAATAAAAACAAGTTATTTAAGGTTTCACACTTTCTAAAAACAGATCATACAATACCTAACCTTATAGTTATATTACTGAATTTAACTTCTACATATGAAACACTAATCTAAAACTAAATGATACTGATGTTTATCACGGTTATACGATATTTTTCAATAAATAACTCAAATTAACACTATTTGACGAGAAAACAAAAATGACTTATACAGTGACAGTGACAATACTGTTGTCGTTCGAGATTTATGAACTTAAGGCATATTTTTAAAGTTCAGTATATAATAATTAGCTAGCTGTAAATATGTATTTATGTAAAAAGCTATATGTAAATACGGGTCGTTCACCAAATTCCAAATTCACTCAAGTAATACTTGTGTCGTCTTTTGGACTACAAATGTATCTTAGCCGCTATAGCCGCTTAACTATTCATAAATTTAAATGTTAATTGCTATTAATTGAAAAATACAACGTTGCAAATTTTCAAATTCAACACGTTTTTTGATATATTTTTTCTTATAAAAATAAAAATATGGCAAACAAAAATTATAAATCGAGACTAGAGTATGAATTAAATACAAATCAGTGTACAGATTTTAGAGAAGGTCAGTTATATTAGCATATTGCCATGCTCGTCGTCATATAGTTTTACAAAATGATTACTGCTGAATAATGCAATAAAACTAACGCCCAGACAAGGATCATCGTACATGTCAACTAACCAGTTGTCAAATGTATTTTCAAATGTTGTTTGAGTTGCCAAAATGATTGTTAAACTCTGTGAATTGATCATTAAGAAGATAGTTCTGATCAATTCAGAGAGTTTAACAATAGTAATAATTGTTTGTAGTAGTTTATAAACAAATACTAAAATCATAACTATGATTATGATATAAATTTACATTTTTACTCAAGTCTATCATTAAAATGCTATTGATATTGACTGCCTCTGATTGTAAAAAATATGTAAAAAATATGTGAAGTCCACCAATCCACAGTAGGGCCGTGTGGTGGATTATACCCTCTGTACATGTATACAGGTGGACATGTATAGGTTGTTACTATATTAAAATAACACTTACTTGTAATGTGAAACCCACCTCTTTGAGACAAAACGCAGGTCTCGGTATCATCATAAATTACACAATAATAATATGGCAATATAATAGGATTTATGGTCAGGAGGACATGTAATAGCGCGTGCGTTTCCAAACGCGTCCTAACTACTTCTTCTTCTTCTTCTTCTTAAAAATGGCTTGCTTTGTGAGTTATCACAATTCCGCCTATGTCAAGTTGTTAGCCATTACACGTAGGGGAATGACAGTTTTAAAATATAAATTTAGTTATCGGAGGTTACTGCTTTAAGCATGTTTTATCTGAAATAAAAGGACGTCATATACAGGACAACACATACATGAAACAGATAAAGCTGTGGTGATATAAAATTATAGTTTTAATTTGTCATAGGAAATAAATTTAGACAAAAGCTTGGGAATTTGATAATCTCTTATGCTTAAGAAGGTTTTCATGCAAATGGGACGAGGAACACAAGTGGGTAGAACGTCATAAAGGGAGATATTTAGTTTGGGACAGTTAAAGAATAGATGGTCCACCGTATTTTGAGTTTAGCCAGGTGAACTGGGGTAATAGTATGGGTCCTAACTACATTATTGCCTTCAGTAACTTCAGTTTTTGACACTTTCGCTTAACTGTGGTCGTCGGGTTATGCCTTCATTATACTTCCACTTGTTTTCACTATTCTGTGGTCGGTGGTTCCAATCCAATACATTAATTATATTTAGTCTATGGTACTTTTGTTGACGTATGAGTAATTCAAATGAAGACTTGAAGTATTTGATATTTTGAATTTTCATATCACCATTCTAAATCAATTTTATACTTTACACTTTATTTACACATTGGTTTTATAGAATGTCGGGACAAAACGTTAACGTGTGTGATATCGGTGATGATGTAAAAAATGTATTGAAAAAATTTCGTTTTCAAAAGCACAATTCTAAGTCTGCTCTTATTTTGAAGGTAAGATTTCAGTACGTAAATATGAGAATGGCTAAGGGTAATTTAAATGAAGTCATAAAGCTTCTCAGGAAAATTTAATCAATGTCTAACTTATTGCGAAAGTATCTAAATAGACAAATGTTTTTTCAGTATTTTTTTTTAATTACGGAACTCGCTAGAGAGCATCTCAATACATATCAGATTTATCACGCTGTGCCATTATCTCCGATTGAGGATAGGTGAAGAATGAGAGAAGTGTTTGTGTGTGTGTGTGTAGTAAATAAACAATGACTTCCCTTATTCTTTTTACAGTATGTAAAAAAATTATTTAGATTTATTCTGATGTTTTCCAGGTGAACAGAGAGAAGCAAGCATTAGAGGTAGATGAAGAACTAGAAAATGTTGAGCTTGAAGAACTGCAAGATATACTACCATCACATCAACCTCGATTTGTTATATACAGGTATTTATGCCCTACTGTATGATACTTTAAAGGGTGTCAATAATGTAAGGCCAAAGGCTTTACTAAGGAGAAAATTGCTAAACGGGTGAGGGGGTGTTGTAAAATGAAAACCTATGGAAAATGCAATCACTTTAAATTATTTTTTTTTCTTTCAGTTACAAAATGGAACATAATGATGGAAGGGTTTCATTTCCTATGTGCTTCATATTTTACACACCTCGAGATGCCCACATGGAATTGCAGGTATAGTATATATATAATTATTAATTTTAATAGATATTCCAGTTTCTATTGGCTAAATTTGTAAACTAATTTGCAAAGCTGACTTTATATTTCTCCCGATGATAGAGGGCCTTAAATAATCAATTTGTTGATTAAAAAAGATGTTGGTAAAAATAAAGGCATAAGACTAACAGCAAAAATGTTTATATATCAGATTGAAGAAGAATAAAGAACAAGATACTACAAACTGGAGCATGATCAAAAAGATGACTGCTATTATATGTATTTATAATACTGTCTGTGCATGGAAATTCATTTGATGCATTTTATGGTAACTTTATGTAAAAGAGCCTCAATAGCTCAGTGTCTGGGCGCTCGTCTTTAATTCAATATACTCGAGCAACCTGAGTTCGACCCCCGGTGGTGGCACCAATGAAGTTTTTAACTTTAAGTGCTGACTTATCACATGCTCGGCGGTAAAGGAAAAACATCGTGACGAAATATGCATATTTTGGAAATAATAACAAAAAAAAAATATTTCGAATATATGTGAATTCCACCAATCCGCAGTGGGGCCACGTGGTGGACTTTGCCCTGAGACCCTCTGTATAGAGGAGGCCTTTGCCCAGCAGTGGGACATGTATAGGCTCTTACTTTACTTTATGGTAACTTTCAGGTGATGTATGCTGGTACACAGAGGGCTTTAGCGGCCGCAGTGGGCGCCCCGAGACTGCTCGAGGTGAGGGAGATTGATGAGCTGACCTCAGAGTGGCTCAATGAGAAACTCAGCAGATAGATTGTGCCAGAGCAATGGTTAAATTGGAGCTGAGACACTCTGAGAAAACAAATAGTATAAACAAGAATAGTATAGTAGAAACAAGAATTAGTTGTATGTATTCTGAAACATAAAAATTTTATTAAAAAGTAGAATTTGTCATAATTATGTAATATTTAATTTTTTCAAATGGTAAATTAATGCAGGAGAACTCTTCAATAAAATTATAATTATAAATTCATAGTAAGGTATTTATGTATAACAGGTAATTAATTGTTGACTACAATTGATAATTTATGAAGTCAGTAATATTTTAAATTTAAATTACCAAGTTGGGTTATAAGTTTTGTTTATATTCCATAGTAAATACATTTTTGATCAAAAACTCATAGTAAATATTAATCAATATTTAATAATAATAGTGATATACTTAGATATTTGCTGGTCATATTTTTATTGGATTACTTTTATTTCTTTATATTATCCATTGACATAATAGAATATTAATTATTAGAGCTTGCCATTTTAGAATAAATAAGTTTACATTTTTGGTATCCACAAGGTCTCACTCTCATAAATTTAGACTTTTGGTGTGAATCCTTAAAAGATCTTTTGAAGTTTTGGGATAAATGGTTGATGTGATTTGTTCTATAATTTCCTTGTCCTTTACCTCTCTTTCTCGTCAGAATTTAGACAAGGGATCAAAATGAAGTATTATATCAAAGCATGGAAACAAGCTTTTATTATTTTCATAATGATTCATTCTTATGTAAGTAAAAGTGAGAAGATAGACTTATATTTTTTTCCAAATGCATTTTTGGTTAATTATAATACATTGATGATTAAAATGCATAGAAATAGTTTTACTTTTTCTGGGAAAATTTATTTATGATCTAATTGATAATAAATAACACTGAGTCTATGGAAGCTTAAAAGACGTGTAATTATTAATTATATGTGTATGTAAAAAAAAATTGAATTTTTTTTTGTATGTTTTTCTACTAGCTTATGGAGAGATTTTGTTATTTGTATAATATTTTGTAATATCTTATTAAAATACATGATTTAATCTAAATAGAAACATATGCAAGAATAGATAGAACGTTATAATGAAATCCAAAGTATAAAATGAGTTAAAGGTTTATTTAAAATAATATCGTAAAGCTGCTTGCCGTCCTCCAACTTTCAATTTTAAACATAAAATAACCAGTCAAGTGTGTATTAAAAATAAATCTGACTTTAATTGTGTAATGTAAACGAAACATTTTCAGCATTTACTGTATTCATGTGTTAGCGGCTTTTCGCGTGATTTATATTTTTTATATAAGAATATTATTGCATTTATACAGTATTTAATATAGAGATAAAATACATATTGATTTGATAAAATATTATTCCCTAGCACAAAGTTTTATTTTGTAAACCTTGTCCAACAAACAAATTACCTACGCTTTGTTGTCATACAAGTTCTTGTGACTTTAAAGGACTTGTCAAAAATATGGCATTTGCTATGTTTAACGATACCGTTAATAATACAATAAACTCATAGATTCCAATATGTTATAGCAGATCCCTATATGCTATAGCAGAAAAAGAAAAACGTAAGTAAACAGAAAGATTAAGAAATAATATACTTATAAGTTATTATTTCAATTTTAACACCATTGTATTTTAAATACACTTAGATACTTAAGAAGTACATATTTTTTATATATAAGCAAGTATTTTGTTTATACATAAATTCCAAAGATTTTGTAAGTAATATGGATATAAAAGGTAAAATTAAAAAATTAATTTATCTTCTAATGTATTAATATCTTTGCAAAGGTTTCCTTTGCAATGCAATATATAAGTGACGCTATTTTAAGCAGTCAATTTTAAACAATGTATGTGGTGTTAAAAATCATAGTGAACGTACGAGAAAACATTTGAATCAGTCAACCATTAATGAAGTGTTAACATAGATGGATGGCATGTCAGTAGTGACGTCATGAGTGCGCTGGTTATTGGGCGTCAGGAGCCGGATGCACATTGTACTGTCTGCCCATCAGTACAGCGCTGGGAGTGGCGCAGCCCGTGAGGTCGATGCCATGCTGCAACATGTCCTCGTAGGGCAAAACGGCTAGCTGCTGGTAGCCGCATTTGGCGGCCAGGACCTGCGAACTCCTCGCGGTGAACACCGTTGCCGTCGCATCGAAGCCGAAAGCTTTGCAGATGGCCTCCCTATTGGGATAGTTTGTTTTTAAAAAATGTTATGCAATGTTGAAAGAACATTATTAGTACACACAGACACATACACACACACACACAAAAACTTTGAATATTAAGTTTTTATACAACTACGTGATTTATATTAAATAATAGAATTTGCATCGTTTTCTTGAAAATTTCATGTAAGCATCTCGTACCGTAAAAGTTATTTAAATAAACTTTACAAGTTATTGATGCAGCTAGTCCTGTGTACACCACACTGAGCTTAAAAACCCCTAAAGCGTAACAAGCCCGTCGCTCTACAACCAGCTAAAATGATATTTTTATGTGAAATTATGAACTATCTTTGTTACAAAGCACTATGCATGAATTAAAATCTCATTAAAATATAGGTACGTCTAAAATATATATCTACAAGTAAGTATAATTTTTAACAAAAAAATCCGACTTCAATCAGAAAATTAAAAACATTGTTAATACCTAATACATTCAATGATGGCCCTCGTTTTCTCTGGGATGCCATCATCAGATCCGGGTTTCCTTATCATAGTACCACCCTTGGGATATCTCCTTTCCGACAAAAAAAGAATCATCAAAATCGGTTCATAAACGACGAAGCTATAAACGAACACACGTAAAAAAAAATATATAGGTCGAATTGAGAAAACTCATTCTTTTTTGAAGTCGGTTAAAACATTTTTTTTATGTGAAAAGTTGCCAAACGAGCAGGCGGTTCACCTGATGTTAAGTGAATACCGCCGCCCATAGACATCTGCTACACCCGAGGGTTTGCAGATGCGTTGACAACCTTTTTGGAAATTGAGCCCCGCTACCTCACTCACCAGACGAAACGCGAAAGTATTTGTCATACTTTCACTTTACGCCGGTCTTCTGTGAGTTCGTGGTACTTACCCGGACGAGCCTGCCGATTCGTGCAACAGCCGAGGCTGCTGCGTGAGTCTACCATTATGTAGTACCTTATTCTGACAAATAAATAAATAAAAAATACCACCGTTAAAGACATGCCTATAATTGGCAAATAGGTAATCAAGAAGAATCTGCACGTAGTGACGCCATGAAGTGGAATCTGACGTCGCACGAAAGGGCTAGTCAAAACAATAGGATAGCGCTATTAAAAAATGTTAATTACCTTTATTAATGTTTAGCACAATGAGAGAGGTGACTGGCGAGCAAATTTCTGTTCGCTTGCGCTTAAAATTCCTAAAATTTTTACGACTATGCGAGTGGATAGAGTGTGTTCTAATCTAACCGAGCGTTGATGATTTGGGCGCCGATGTTCTGGCCGCGATGGGGCGGCACCACCGCCAGCCCGCTCGACGTCAGGTACCTGTCCACCCCGTAGTGCTCGAACACGTCCACGAACCCCTCGGCGGTCACCAGCGTCCGCAGCAGTTTCCTCCACGTCTCACCGGAGACCTGCGGCCCAAATACAAAACTGTTTGACCTTTCAAACGCCTTAAATATGAAACGTTAACATTATAACAGCAGTGTAAAACTTTCAATTTCAAACAGCAATAAAATTGTGTCATCTCTCGCTCAACTTATCCTTCCAAAAAATATTGCTAGAAATGCGAAAAAACAATTTAGATAAATGACGTTCGTGTTTTCGTCGGTGTCGCAATCAGCTGTTTAGCTTAGTGGAAGACGTGGAATTCATTACCACAGCGGCGAGACACTTCGTCGTTTTTCGTGTGTTATTCTTGAAAAAAACTTGGTATGAAAACAGAATCTTGGAATCAATGTAATCGCTAAAAGCACGCGCTGCCAACTGGTAAGTGTAAGTGCACAATAAAAAAGCAATAAATCTTTGTTGATGGGCGTTTTTATCGACAAATTTTTATTTACAAATCTGGATAGTATCTTTACTGACTACGATACATATGGGTTCTCTCCGCAGGTAAGGAGCGTGGGCAAGTGTTTGCATCAGTGAAGCAAAGAAATATATACGTAATGCGTAAGGTAACAAAAAAAAAATCTATACACAGATAAACTGCTAAAATACAAAGCTGTAGTAAAGTGGCCTTCGCGCAACCGACGCCCTGTCATTCAATCGTACTATCATAATAACCCTTGTGTTTATACGAACGTATGCAGATACTTACAAACCACTATAACATTTGAAAGATTTACGCCCATTTTCTGAAACACTGATCATCGTAGATGTTAGCTAATCAACGGTCAAATGGATGTATCACCACTAAATTGCCTTCGGGTGCTCCAGGTCCCTTTTATAAATAATTCTTTTGATTCTATTTCTAGAATGGGACGCTTAATGGCCCGAATTTCGATCGTCTCTAGATGTAATGTTTCGAAGTGTAAGTAAGAACCTTCTTTTATTCTAGAGTAATAGTGTAACACTTTACGTACGCACATAAACTACGTAAGTTTCAATGGAGTAACCGTAACAATATAATTCATCAAACTTCTTCAAAATTCCCTATTCTCTTTCAAATCTTTTTAAACATTCTTCAAACGAATCTGGGCTCTAGTTAACTCATTCACTAGACATAACAAAAAACAAAAGTACTTAAATTTCTACTTGACGCGGTTTTTCTGGAAGGTTGTGGACTTGTGGTACTTCCCCGGACGAATCTTCCCATTATTGCAACAGCAACAATGTAGACTTAACACAGTTAAAATATATCGTAAATGAAAAATATAGGAAAATTTTCAGGCATTGTGAATTTAAGCTTAATAATTTATATAATACTAGCTGCTGCCCGCGACTACGTCTGCGTAGAGGGGTGAAAATTTAGGGTCGTATGTATTTTTGTATGCTGCATCATAAAAAACTATATAAAAAAATTAAGGGGTCCACCCTTAACATTTAGGGGGATGAAAAATAGATGTTATCCGATCCTCCACCCAGGCCGATATGCACACAAAATTTTACGATAATCGGTCGAGCCGTTTCAGAGGATTCTGATATTCCCTTACGAGTTAAATGAAGGGGTTGGTATATTTGTATAAATATAAGATGTTTGCGAAATGCTTACGTTATCAATATCCCCTTCTTCATCATCGGCTGATTTCACTACTAGAATATTACAGCCTACCAGCTCACGAGGGACGCCGTCCTCTTCTGTATAACACGCCAAACATATACCCTGTTCGGCATACCTCTCCCAATTGGATCTGATCGTAGACACCGACACCAAGTCCGACTGAATGTCTGTGAAGAGTTAAACAAATCTTCATAAATACGTAAAAAAGGGACAAATTGGCATCGTAATATTCGTAATAAAGTCGTGGATAACGATTACACATCTTTATGTTGAGCTTACCCAGTCCTAAACCTTAAGTGCAACCCGGCGGAGTTCATTGCGGAGGGTTATCTATATCGATTTTTTGACACGTTCTTTTTTTCTACAAATATCGAACTTATATTGTAATGCTCCAAGTCTTTATGATCACCCTATAAAGTGTGAAAGAAATTTTCTCACGGTCATTGAGACGATGGCACAAGGATGTATTGTAATTGGCCATCCTTTTGGCACATAATGGACTATAGTAATGCAATACAATACAATATCAATCTATTTCCTTCCACTGCTGAACGTAGGTCTCCCCCAAAGTACGCCAACTATCCCGTTCCTGGGCAGCCCGCATTCATCCGCTGCCCGCCACCTTTCTTAAGTGGTAATTCCATCGTGCTGCAGGTCATCCCACACTACGTTTCCCTAACCGTGGTGTCCACTCTGACACGTGTCGGCTTCAGCGACCATCAGTACGTCTGTAGACATGGCCAGCCACTTCCACTATCCACTTTCCATAGATGAACATGCAGTCAACATTATGTATTCAGATTTAAATACTTTAAATAGCATGTCTTGTCGTAAGGACGTAAGGACTTTATTTGTCTTTTTGAGTACTCACGCACCCAGTATTTGTGACAGTGGTTCGTCCCTTAAGAACGTACCCTCCATCATATCTAAGCATCGCTTTCTATCCGATAGCTCCATGTCTCTGATTTGGTACCTGGGAACATTTTGTGAGTATAACCATAAAGAAAAATTGCATTAACTATCCACTAGTTTCAGTAACCTGTGGAAAAGGGGTTGGCAGAATGCTAGGTAGTACGATATAGCCTTTGGCGATAAAACTGTATATTATAGGTATGTAGTTGGAGCAGTAACAAATAAAAGAAAAATAATTTTACAAAACACTACATTCAGTATTTTTTAACCTTACCTTTAAATATACAGTTATAATTGTAAAAAAATATAGAAAAATATTCATTCGTATATCTGGTTTATTAAATCGGTATCATCCATCTGGATCAGACTGTAACGTGATCTAGCATCATATACCTAAACTTCTTACTGAAAATGACAGAATAAAATAGTGAAAATATTAATATGATCAAAAGTGGATATAAATCATATTTTTTTTAAACGTCAAATACACCTAATAAGCACCATTACAAATGATTGACCATGATACAAGCATTACTAGAGTGCTGTCCGCATCTCTGCTACAAATTCATATTTTTTGTGAGCGACACTTGGTTTATCCTAGAATAATTAGACAACGTCAAAAGTCTATCTATGGATTGATTGATCTACTCTTCAACACTTACTTGATTATCTGTATATTTTCCTATAAATCATTGAATAATATTCTGTTGGTTTTTCTTATATTGCAGATATGCGTGATATGTAAAGGGAACCAATCCCAGAAAGAAAGAAGACCTTAAAACTCAACTTGGTCGGATGTGAGATGAATCCAGTGGTAAATCATAACGGATAGAAATATTCACAACGGTTTTAAAGATTTCATTTTCCTATACTGATTTAATAATAAAAAAAAAGTTCAAATTATTTTTCCGTTTCGACCGCCACGTGCTTTGGTAACTTTCGAGGCACAGGGAATGAAATTTAATTGCAGACTTACATAGTACCCGGTACGCCATTTCTCTCCCTCCCTCTGAATCTGCTCCAAACCTGACCGACGGGTAAATTAGATGGGCGGCTCCACGGCATTTTTTATAACAATGAATAATAGAAGTTGGAATCGTTATTTTCCACTCTGTCTTTATAATATAAAACTGTAACAAAATTATTTCCCAAGAATGACTGACTTTATAGATGTAAATTGTTTCTTTGTGATTCAAATCTTATTGATTTACTGAATACAAAAATGTGTTCAACTACAGTGTTATTGAATTCAATTAGTAGAAGTATGTTTAAGTTATGTATGTTCATTCCGTTCGTACCGTTATGCGCTATTTGTTACATCCCTATTCGCCTTCGAAGCCCACACGAGAAACCCGATAAAATCCTTGACAAAAACTTTATCTAAATGAAATACCTTTTAGGATTTATTTGTAATTCAATTCACTAAAGACAATTTAGCAAATAAGTTCATAAGGGACTTATCAAACGCACCTTAACTAACTAGGAACTACAGTTAGTAGTTAGTAGCAGTTATTTAGCTCGTTAAATTTTACAACTCTTAACCGCAATCATTTGATGTAGGTACCTAATTAACTTTTTGGATCCCATTATGTCGCTTTTATGTCGTTATCTGTTTTTCACAGAGTCGATGTTTTTTTTAGGTCGTAGGTTTAGGGCGGATTGGCACCTCTAGAACTAAAAATGAAAATCCCACCAGATGGAAAATATTTTTTTAAGAAGGTAACTTACAATTTACATAGAAACTAAATAGGAATGTGATATGTGTACAATATTGCCTATCAATGTGATACACAATTTTTTACCAGAACATAAATTTTAGTCCTGTGTAATAAATGACAAATGAGCATTTAAGTTCGCCCTTAGTCGAAATTCAATATAAAAAATATTCCAATTCTAACATTGCAATAAGTGATGGCAGCGAGCTAGAACTTTGACCTCAATGCAATGCCACCACCGTTTTATCTAAGCAGCCAATAGTGGAACTTTACGCGTTTTATCATTCTTAGTATTACTTACTCAATTTGAACACGGGCAGCTTGTTGCTGTAAGTACAGGAACAACGGTTGTAATGTGCATTTATACTGCGGTGTGCTCCTGCGCGACTTTACGTTACAATACACAAGAATAATCCACTCACTCATAACCTATGTACGTACGCGTAATAATTGTGCACGCAACTCTCGTCTTAATAAACCTTGTAATGTGCATGTGCATATACGAGCAACTTTACACAATGACGCGTTGGATGAGTGTGGTCATGTGTGAGTGGAAATGTCGTTTCTATTAGACACGAGGAGTTGATGTATCGATGTACTTATTAACAAGCAATTGAGAATAATACATTACATTCAGTTTATTACATAGGTGCTTCTACGTTCGGAGAAACCATCTTGGCCAGTGTGGTGGCCACGCGGAATTTTCGAAAAGATAATTTATGACAAGTTATGAAACGCGTAAAACGCTCAAAGTAAAGTAATAGCCTATCGTTCATAGTATGTCACGCAACCCCACCGTGGATAATCAGATGGATAGAGTAGAATACATAAAAATGTAACGTATAAACTATTTTCCACTGGTCATCAGAAATAATTAGAAAGCGACGTTTTATTTTATTATTTTTTCAATGCAGTTTGTGACTTCTTTTGTTTCGCCGTGTGACGTGAGACAGTGTGAACACAGAGAAACGTAAATTCCAGATCTATATGCATGCGATCTATCAAGGCTGCCTCGCACAACCACTCTGTGGAACTAGCTGCCGCCAGCGGTCTTTCCGAACCGTTACGACCTGGGAACCTTCAAGAAGAGAGCATACTCTTTCCTAAAAGGCCGGCAACGCATTTGTAAGCCCTCGGGTGTTGCAGGTGTTCATGGGCGGCGGTAATCACTTACCATCAGGTGAGCCTCCTGCTCGTTTACCCCTTTTCTCCATAAAAAAAAATGCACATGTACTTAAATGTGTTCAATAGATCCGCATTGGTATCAGCTACATTCAGTTACGATATTGGTAAGTGGCTGGAGTGTTATCAGCCTGCACCTATCCTTATCACGCATCGCGCATCACGGACCATACAAATCGCGCTTATATGTTTGCGATATCTGTTTACAGCATTTTACGTAAATAAATATTTAGAGGTAAGAGTATGTAATGCCACTGAAAGCATTCTTAAAAGCATTCCTGTGAAAAAAGTCGTGGAGGTCGAGACAAGTTCATAGATGATGGCAAATCTGTGAGCTGCGTCCCAGGTATGCATCGCATTTGTAGGGATCAGTTCACTCATGTCACTCACGTGTTGTTTTTGTACCTTTTCAGGCATGAAAAGGTACAAAAAATCACGTAGGGTCGCAGTCATCGGTCATGAGCTTTGCGCTGATGGGCGCATACGCGGGCGCCACCGATGACTCTTGGCGGTAGGATAGTCCATCGCGGCTAAGTGATCAGTTACCGCCTGCCTTAGCTGGTATTGGTATGCCTCCTGTACGCGCTTTTATATATATGTAGAGCAACAGGCATGTCACAGTGTCTGGAACATTATGAGCATGTGATGAACCTGACAAATCGATAAATAAAAAAGTTAAAAGAAGTAGTTTGTGTATTGCCCTTTATTAAATTCTTTCTTATTATGTTACCCAAAAAGGTCTACGAGTGTCTCTTAAAGTATTTATCTTCCAGGATCAAGTTATGAAATCCATCGTCTAAATAATAAATTCCATGGTATTGGTTATAGTTGTATTTAATAGCTTGACACAGATAATGATCTTAGTGCAAGTGCTGTGAACTATCGCTGCCACTGGTGTAAAATCTTAGTTCGAAGTTTATACATTATGATGATGAATCGTGGAAAATTTTGGGAGCTGTAAATTTAAGTTCATGAACTAAATGGTGGGACTGATTAATTACGCGGTGGTTCATCCTTCTTATATTAACTGATGTTTGTGGTTTCAATCCCGAGACTATTAAAGCTTCATCTGACAGCTTCATCCTTTGTTTGTTTCTGTAACAGTTTGTTGCTATAACATTCACTCTCTCGCTACATATATAATTATGATTATTTCTGTAATATTTTGAATATCTTTGTGTTTTGTTAAAATAATCGCCTTATTTCAGATGCACGTGATGGACTAGTAGTAGTAGTACATTGTTAGTGGTTAGGACACGACAGATCCTTGGACAAACAGAATACTTCTGGCCTGAAAATATCTTCAATGAAGAACTGTGGGTTCTCTGTCGTGATACAAGCTCTAGGATGGACTCCACAAGCGAAGAGGAAACGTAGCCATCCTAAGAACACCTGGCGGCGTTTCGTCTGGTCCTAGAGACTTGTTGTCGTGGGCTGACATGGTTCAAGGCAAAACGCATAGCCCAAGACAGAACGTAACATAGAGGGGTTGCTGTGATACATTTAATACCTATCTAGTGGTAAATGCTGATCTCGGGATGCATCTAATCAGCAATATCATAAACTAAGTTTCTACTTTCTGCATATGGAATACTGGTACAGGCCTAATCTTTAATATTTGGTAAGAAATAGACTTCGATTCGATAATATTTTGATATGTCCTTTGATGAAACACATTTAATACTGGTGTTAGGAAGAAACACAGGTTGAATTAATAAACGTACACGGACCCTTCATAAAAATGAGTTTATGAAGGGTCTATTTTACAAATCAATAAATCTGCAGCTTTCTGAAAACAAACAGCATTTGGTGAGTAGGTAGTTTAATTTTTTATTTTTTTAGCACCTTCAGGTTACTACCGCTTTAAGATTTTATGCTTCTTCAATCGAGTATACAGTTTTTATTTTGAAAAGCTTTCATGGTACAAAACAGAAAGACATGGTAAAAAGAAGTTGCACTTGAATCATGCTCGATTAGCAAAATTAAAAGATTTGGAAGAGGTTAAACTCTCTGAATGGATCAGAATGATCAATTCAAAGAGTTTAACCATCCTTTTGGCAACTCAAATGACATTTGAAAAGCCATTTGACAGCTGATTAGTTAACTTCTATGATGATCAGTGTTTTAGAAACCAGGCGTCAAGGTGTAAAATTTTCAAGATCATTGCTGATTTACTGTAATTTTACCTATTTAATTCATCGAAATATTGAACTTTTTATTGGAATGCTCTCATGTTATTACCAATTGTAAAATATAGACATTTCAAATGCGAAGTTTTGCAAAACAAAGTAAAAATTTTATAATTTAGGGACAAAATGTTTGAGTTAAAGTTTCACTGGGCAAATATGAAGAACATTGAACAAAGCGCCACGAACGACAGAAGTTACGTAGTTACTCAGATACGCTGGTACATTGCTCGTTTCAATTGACATCGAGCGTGGTTCAATAGGAAGATTTCTGAAACAATTTGGGCTGAAAGCTCGACACGATTAGTAATTTGTGCAGTTTTCGACACCTGGCCGTTAATCCTGTCATTATTCTCGCCGCCCAACGCGCGCCGCACCGTGCCGGCGAAAATAAACAATGGTTCCGAGAAGCAGGCACTCGCTCTCGGGTGCGGTGCGGGGCACGTTTTCCTGATATCGATGGTCATCTATCACCCACATTCTCCCTTGGGGTCAAGCTAGTGTTTTGGACAATAGCTCCCGTTCTATACTCGAAATCCATACATTAGTATAGGTAATTATATAAGTTTGTACGCCTTCCAGTGGCCCCGTTATTTGACCAGCTAGTTCTAATATCAATCAGAACTGTATATCACTAATACATGTAAAGTACAACTAAAGATTTCACCAAACGGTTATTCGATAGGGCCGAACATCATCCCAATCCTCTGGCGGTAAAAGCAGTTATTTACCAACCCGAAATAAACGCGAAGTCATTGACCCGGTCAAGGAAGGGTACATGAGTACATCGGACCCACCGTCAGGGTTCCCGCAAGATAACACTAGACACACAGTTAGTGTACCCCCGTGCAAGGCCTCAAACCGGTGGGTTCTGTCTGGCCCACGGGTTCTGCATTCGATGAAGCTTTAATAGTCTACAGACTGAAAGCGTTTACTTCAGTTACATCATAAACATAAAATATTACATTAAATAATTATGTTATCGAATACTTTATTTCAACCGATTAACCAATAATAGCCTGAAATTTAAGGATAGATGGATAATTATGAAGATGTTAATGTAATTACACTGTTAAGAACTAAATAGAGGATATAATTAAAAATGAAGTTGTATAATAACTATCAACAGATAAAAAATTTCAAAGAAGTTCTTCCTAATAATGAAAAATATACTTTTATTAGTTGGGGAAGACTAGCTTTGACGTCCTATTGTCCCTTTGAAATTAGAAATCAGAATTTTAAACAGTTTGGATGTTAATTTTTAAAAAGTTGTTAATTATTATTATTAGCAATTCACTTCTTTGTAGATACTTCTTTGTCATATACAGTGAAACCTCAGTGAGACATCAAGGGACCTGCAAATTTGTCTCACTTGTAACTCACTTACCCAGTGTCTCAGATATACAGGTATAAATAAATATGTGTATATAGGGGGTTCCTTGCCGAGGTTCAGGCTAGGCGCCACGAGCGCCCGGCCACCTCATGCCCGTCGGATCTGTAAAGGCCCCTAAGGCCAGCAGTGGCTCATCCAGCCAAAAAAAGAAGCTTCCAATAAAAGAGGTAAGAATACGGATTATATCAGTTATGGAGGTGCGATTATTGAGTATAAGGGTATTGGTCACTAATTGATGTCATTCTAAAATAACTGTGCAAAGTTTCTAGTGCTAAAAGCACTGCTTCGCGTTTAGAATTTTTACAAAATTTACTTCCGAGTCCAAAACCTATTCATCTTTTTCATTTTCCAATGAAGAAGACGAGAAGGCATGAACAATGTCGTTTTCAGTATGTTCTCCTGAAACTATTAAATCGTCTTCGACATTTATAAACAAATAAAATGGACAGACAAGAGGCCATATGCATATAACATACAGTTATAGAGATAACTATGACGATAAAATCGAAAGAACGAATCCCAGATATAGAGGTTCGCTTCGTCCTACTAATAGAGGTAATTCAGTGCCAAAACCTCAGCGCGACTTTCAGTTATGGAAGTTTCTCACTTATCCAGGTCCCACATAACCAAGTTTCACTGTAATGCATTTCGATATCGATACGTTAGCGGCCCAACACTATCGTGACGTACAAGAAAATTTATATTTCCCTAATCCCGATTTACTTTCACGGGATCATAAAACGTTTTTATTCAGATGCGAGTTGGTCGGAGAGCGCGCCGGTCGCGGCCCAACTAGCCGGCCATCTTTAAAAATAGCCCGCGAGTGATCCAGAGAAGTTAGCAGCGCGAAATACAAAGTGCCTTCGACAGTATCTGACATTCGAAATAGCTGTTTGTACCGTGTTATTGCCGAGTGCGTGAACCATGATTTTAAATGGGTAAGTGAGTATTGACTTTATTGCGTTTACACTCGTACACAAGCGCTGTGGTGTCGTGTGAACAACGTGACGCTTGGAAATGAGTGGGCCGTCGGTCAGTTACGTTTGAAATAAACAAAACCGAGATCTGCTGAAATGGTTAGAGGTGATTTTTTTATCCTACACTTTTAAATTTGTTTGCAATGTTTGATTTCGTTTTGTGGAAATGATGTAGAGGCGTCGAGTTACGCAAACTTGTCATGTCAAGGAAATGGCAGACAATATCTTCCAATTCTGTATATAGACAATATTGCTTATAAATAGTTATTTCGTGTAATAAATAATAATTACTTACGTTAGTCGTGGGGATTTCTAAATACGGTTTTGAGTACCTTACACTCTTCCACAATCATAAATCTACGGATACAGTCTGGATAGGTATAAATAATAAAGTTGTCCCGTGTGGGAATTGAACCCTCGACCTCCGGCGCCGAAGTCAATACCTTGTCTATTGCACCACGGAGTCATAAAAATTATGTATACTTTTGGTAATAGGGATACTCAAACTAAGTGCCCTGCACCGAGGCCTTCATGAGAATTTATTCTTGTCTCCTCATTCCCAACGTAAACTTCAACCTTCAATGAGTCAGTTCATCAGCATTTGCATCCAGTGTTATTAGTGATAACCATAAAAAGCCTGTAGATACACAGAGAGTTTCTATCAGATTAAGAATGATTTAGGTAAATAAAAATAAAGACCATATGATAATGTAGATGAATTTAGTATTGTCATTAAGCGGCTAATCGTAATGAAATGCGTACACGAACATTCATGATATAGGAGCGCATATGTTTCTACAGTCAGGAGAAATACTAAAATATTATACAATGTGTGTACACACTTCGTCCCGCCACTGGCTATTATTGTGCTGCGATACAAATCTGCCGAGGGGACGCATGTTTTTGCCAAAACGTTGGTGCCACCATCCTCTTTGTCTACATTTTATAATTATGATACATATAAAATTACATAGTCCCTTCTGATTTGTTAATTCATAAGTATGATGTTCAATTTTTTCACGCAAGGCATAAATAAAAATTTATTGCTACAAGCGAAATAATTTTATTCATTCCTATATCAAAATAAAAGTTATACGCCAAAAGCATATTGAAAATAGAAAATATAATGATTATATTTTCATCTTTTGAAGTTCAAATAGCAGCGAATTTACGGTCTAGTCGCTTAATTTTATTTACAGAGCCTCATAAAGAAAATGTTGTAAGTCCCTTATGTCTGATTATTAAGCTTAATAAAAAGAGCTAATGGCATTTTTTGTTTTTAAAAACTTTACCCTTACTGTAGGATAACATCCTTATGTTGTAAGGACGTTTCACAAACATTTTCGGGTGGAGAAACGCCTAGAAAAAATTATCTGTGTGTCACACAAATAGTTGTAAATCATCAGTGCATCCATGGTATTGAAATTATTAATATTTGTTAAGAACCGAGAACCTTATTAGGAGTTCGAAAAGTGATTAAAATTTATTATCCATTTGATCATTCGGAATCGCAATTTATGGATTCAGTTCTGCATAATTTTAAAATATTTTTTTAAAATCAATATCACAGTTTTTAATAGGTATTCTTTATTATATATGCATATTATTAGCTAAACATTATACTTTTTACCCGAACAAAAATCCGAGTATTTTATGTTTTTATCGCGCTCTGTTAAAAAGCAATTATTTAATAAATAAGATACCATTAGGAGTTACTTTTAATGGTAAAAATGCAAACAGTTACCTAATTAGGGGTTAATCTGCCTATATTTAGTTAAGAACCGTGATAGTTCAATATACGGGCGCAAGTAGAGTTCGATCCCCGGTGCCAGCCGTCAAATCGTCTTATCAAGTGTTCAGCGGTTAAGAAACAAAACATTTGTAACACAAACAAAAATATTTAGAAAATATGTGAGGTTCGCCACTCCGCAATGGAGTTATGTGGTGACCCATATGTATATATATTATATATTATACCCTATAACCCTCTGCACAGAGAAGGCCTATGTCACGGGCCCCGAGACTGCCTGGAATGAATTCGTTACGTATGCGGTCAGCTCGTGTGACGCCACACATCCACCCTACCATGATAACTGTAATAAAAAAATATTGTTTAAAAATGTATTATCAATACATTTCCAGAGTTGTTATCAATTAAATAATCACTTATATTATAATAATCTTTAAAACACAAAAGTTCCTTTACATTTTTTTTTATTTAGAATCTTTAAACGTTGATCCAGCTGTCATTGTTCACCATGGGTGATGGTTGTAAAGAAAAAGGTTGTATACCTATACCATAACATCAACTTCCCGCACATTTTCACAGGTCGTCACTCCATCTAGTGGGGTCATCCCATGATATGATACGATGGCCAGTACGAGGCTGCCACTCGTTACTGCGATTAGCGATAGTTATATGTATTTAATTATGTGTCTAATCCACCTAAATTGTGTAACAAAGTTAAGAAAATGATTATATGCTCAGATCAGAGATACTTGACTTGGCACCGCTTTCAAAAAAATTTAAATTTGGTTAGAGGTTACCTAACATTTTGGTTAGGTTATTAAGGTTAGATTTTCAATATTTGATTATATGTATTAGATTAAGTAATATTTCAAACTTTTTAGTGCTAGGATAGTTTAAAGTCGATTCTTTTTTTTTGTTAAAAAACTTTTTGACGTCCGCGTTTTCCAAAAGCAGAATGTCATTAGAAATTGTACAGTGGAAATAAGTAAACTATACCAAACGAGACGTATCTACATCAGCCAACTGTCTCATTTTCTTTTGCCGCGAAGGCTGCTGAGCTAAGCTAAGTCTATTCTTCAATTTATTAATACGGGGACCCAATTGCAGTTTGGCATCTATTTTAATGCCAAGGAATATAGGCTAGTCAAAAGGGGCTACTCTAGCCCTTCCCCAAGGAGTTTTAAAATTTAAAAATTTAGTTTTTTTACCTATTCAACGGTAAATTGAGTATTGTTTAAAACGTCATGATAGCTTAGTGTCTGGGAGCTCGCTAATAATTCATTATGCTCGGTTACCTAAGTTCAAATCCCGGTTGCAACTCCAAAGAAATTCTTTATTTTAAGTATT